TGTGCTGCACTGGTTAATTAATGGTGGTAATCATATCTGGTCAGATCTGACAGATTTTGCCAGATAACAAAATCTAAGGCTCCCTGTGTCAGATGAGTTTAGGATGACTCCATCTCTCAAGGTGGACATGGAGAAAATGCTGGATTTTCTCCCTTCTTTGCCAGYACCTTGATCTGGAGGTAAGAAAGCATCAGCTTCTATTTCTGCAGCACAGTCCAGCTGTGTTTCACCAGCCAGTGACAATCTGAGTGATGGCTCCATGCAGCAGGGAGGAGAAAGGCCACTGATRTATCTGGCAGTTCTCTTAAAAACCTTAGTGACTGCTTCATCCAGTGATTTCAGTCAGAGAGGACAGACTTTTGAAAAAGGGAGCCAGAAGAGGTTGATATGTGTACACTCCATCCTAAAAAGATGAATCTTTTGACTGGTACTGTATAAGGATAGTGACTTAGAAAGGAATGTTATGAAAATTCATACTTCTCTCTCTGCCTCAAATCAGGATTTTGTGATGGCRTTGTCCATTCTGCTGCGGGGAACTGTTCATGAAAAGCTGAGATGGACATTTAATCTGTATGACATAAATAAGGATGGCTATATAAACAAGGAGGTAAGGCTGTTCCTGGCAAATGTGGTTGATTTTGGAAGAGAGAGATGATTGGTTTTGCTGCAGAACACAATTAATTTTACATGCAGCTAATTAAATGCAAATCAGAATGGACTCGAGCATTTGTCTATGTCTAAGCAAAGTGCACTGCAACCTTATTGCATGATTTTCTAGACATATTTTCCTATATTTTGGTACCTTCAATGAATTGTTTTAGCCAGGAGCAAAATCCTAGTTATAGCTSTGAGCCACATAAGGGGAGGGGGACGGTGGCAGTAGCTACATGTGACTGAGGCTCAAAGGCTTTCTTTCTGCACTTGGAGATACTGTGGGGGTCATCTGAAGCACTACAAGCCTCAAGCACCCCTCCCAAATCCTGCATTGTCACCTGTTTTTATCTTCCTATCTGTTACTGCTGGTTCCCATTGTGGGAAGCCTTGGTTTTGRGCATGGTGACATCGAATACATGTCAAACTCAAACCCATTGTGGATCCCTGGAGGGTTTGCAGTTACTGCCACTGATTGTGGAGCTGAGGGGCAATTTGTGCAAGGCGTGGAGAGGGACCAGATTTCCAGTTACAGCTGTGAGGGTCCCTGGCCCTGGAGGAAGCTCTTGGGACAGGGTTGGTGCCACAGTGAGGGGTGAGCACAGCCCTTGCTCCCAGCACCTGCTGGTCAGACCCAGGCCAGGGGAGGGGAGGGAGCACTGTGGGAGTCTGTGGCATGGCAGGGGCAAAGAGGGAAGCAATTCTTCCTGCAGGATGCGTTTGTGTGTCCTGATACCGCTGTGTCCATGCATATGCGTAGGCATTCCAGGTGCTGTTTTGTAATAGGAGAAGGAGGGTGAAGAAAAGGGCAATACAGGACAGAAATGGGCTATTTCTTTTAATTTCCTTTTTGTGTTTGTGCTGGCATGCTGCTATGGCAGGAAATGATGGATATCGTGAAGGCAATTTATGATATGATGGGAAAATACACGTATCCAGTGCTCAAGGAAGATGCACCAAGGCAGCATGTGGAAGTGTTTTTCCAGGTACCTGGTTTTTGATGTKTTTTTTTTTTTTAACATTGAGCTATGCACTTTCCTGTGAAGTTGAGTTTATACCTCACTATACATTCCAAAATAAGCCCTAGCAGCCATTCAGCCTAACATTACAGTGCCTGCTGATTTCCTGGCTCCAAAGGCATCTCCATTGTCCCTTAGCCTGGCCCTTTGCATTGGGGTGTGCCAAGTCCAGTAAGTCTGAAACCTCTGCATATGTTGCAGTTCTTGTGTGCTGCTTTCCTCAACTGCTCTAATGACTGACAGAATGTTGGTAGGGATCAGCTAGGCAGTGAATAAATAAACAGTGGAATAAGGACAGAGATTCTGGTGTATGTCAAGGAAGCAGTTGAAGGTTACCTAAGAAGTGTTCCAAATCCCAGAGCAAACAAGTCCTTAGCAGTTGGCCAATCCAGCATTGAGTCTGTGATCTAAACTTGTTAAGTGTTCAGCTTTATTCAGGTTGCATCAACTAAGAYATTGTACTGTAACAATAGTGTTGCCAATGTAAACTAATTTTTTATTGTTTTATTTTGCAGAAAATGGATAAAAACAAAGATGGAGTTGTAACTTTAGATGAGTTTATTGAATCGTGTCAGGAGGTAAGGACTAAATTAAAACTGCAAGGAAAGATCTCTCTCATCTCACATAATTTGCTTCRGTTTGGACAAACTCTGTTTGAAACCAGATGTTGCTCAGAATCCTGGGTTTTCTTTGCTCTGGGAAAAAAAAAAAACAAAACAAACAAAAACAGCTTCAAGACTGAGCTTCTTATGCTCTTTGAAGACTGTGACTCAGTAGTCAGGCAGAATACAGAGAAGATGTCTTCATGTGCAGTGCTGGCACCTGTGCTTTTATTTTCATGAGTGGTCTGTAGCGCCTGATTCTACAAACAAACAGACAACTGTAGAGAAAKCTCTTAACTGCCTAATGTTGTTTTGGGATTTTGTTGGGTTTTTTCCTTCATTTTGAGAGTCTCATGCTRTCTTTGTGTGCTGCCTTAGATGTCATTCTCAGGTACCACATAATTGGAATTGCCCACAGTCAAGGGTATCTCAAATTCTTGCAATTACAGCACTAAGTTATAAAATGAGTTGATGTTTTCATGGTCAAACATTAAAAGCAAATGGTATCATCATAGCAATTATTAATTTTTTTTTTCTGTTTTGGAAGTAAGCTCCCTCTTGCAAGTTCTATGTAGGAGATTGGGTCTGATCAATTTTTGTTGGTACTTTTAGCACTACCACAAAGCAGCACCTGCRCTAACATGCAATTGGCCTAATGTCTTTTGTCTTAGACATTGAYTGTGTGAATGTTTGCTCAGAGATACCTCTTATATTTGACCGGTACAATAATGGTCTAAAATGCAGCCTCTGCCTTTTGGAATATTTACATTGGTGCACAGAATTGCACATTGGCCCTTCTGTGTATTTTATGTTCCCTGGCAAATTCTTTCCAGTTCTGCAGCCAAACAGCTCTTCTGTCCCTGGGCAAGGGAAAGATGCTCACTGTGGAGAGCTGGGCTGGCTTCTGCTGGTTTTGTGTCAAACCTGGCTCTGGCCACATCCTGTCTCATTCAGGGACTTCTGGCAGTAAAATCCTTGTTTAGCAGATATGTAATAGAAGGCTAATATTTTTCAGTTACTTCATTCTTGGTCCCTCCTAAATGTTTATTTTTGGCACCATCTTTTTTATCAATTTTGTTGTGTATTATTCTTCAYGTTCTTTACTTGTAGGTAGCTGTGTGTGTGAGACCAGTGGTTTCAGTACTGAAGCAGCTTTACTTGTCACTGTTGCAGAGTGTTAATTCCCTGCTCTGGTTTGGGTTTGTCTCCTTCTGTTGCCATTCTTGCACTGGCAGCTGGGCAGACTGATGCACTCAGGGGCGGTTTCCTGGCAGGGAGGAGCAACCCCTGCAACACTAAGATTTATTTTTATCTTTATGAAAACAAACCTAAGTGCATAACAGTGCTCACCTGTGCCATTGCAGCAGCTCTGGCTTGTGGGCAGTAAGCCCCTGGCATTTCCCTGGAGAGGATGATGGGCTGTCCATGCAAGGGGATGCCTTGCACCCACCAAACTGAGTGAGCAGTGATAGAGATGATGCAGCCTCACAATATGATTGAGCAATGCAATGCAATCCATCTCTTCAGTTGCTCAATGTGGAAAATTATTTTCACGATACATGCAAATAGCTCTTCTAACTCTTGGAATAACTGAATTCCTGGGGAGAGGAAAAATCATCATTAGGTTTTGAATATTAATCTGGGTTTTATCTTGAAGTAAAATTCCAAGACTTCAAGAGAAATAATCTGGGATTTCCCTTGTGTCTGTAACTTTCTCATTTGGCTCTAGGAGCCCTGGAGAGGTTGAGGTTGCACAGATAGCATGTGTTTTGGGTTGAGTTGGAATTTCTGGCAGGAAGTGCTCCCTCAAGGCAGTTTGCKTATTGGTTCAAAACCTGCCATTCCATTTGGACTTGTGGAGCATGTTGCCAAGAGCTCATTTGCACACCCAGCATCAGGGACAGCTGAGGGTTCAGCACAGGCACCAGCTCAGTGTCCTGCACAGCCTATGCTGCACGTCAGGTTCAGGACAAGACCCTGGCCTTGGTCTGCCTCAGACCAACCCTGGGATTGAAGTGTGAGACGACAGCTGTGCTGAATCAGGGCCTGGGCACTGAATCAGTCCCAGCTCATAGAGGGGGAGAAGCATTCCCAGAGCAAGGCTTCTGCCTGCAGGAGCAGCTGCAGAGCTCCCTGGTGTCAAGGCAGAATTATGAATTGTGCTTGCCCATGTTGGTTCAATGGAAATATCTTCTSCTTGCTTTCAGGATGACAATATCATGAGATCCTTACAGCTCTTCGAGAACGTCATGTAACCAGATGAGCATGGGAGGAGTTTGAGGCTTCCTGTGTAACAAAGATCTCCTTTCTGGGTGAAAGCTTTTTACAATTGAGCCATGTCCAGTGTATGAGGATTTTGTATGACATCTCCAACCAAATGGCAACTGAATGCAACCAATCCCACCTCTTGTCCCCAGGAGATGCCGGTGGACCTTTGTTTCGTTTTGGAAGCATGTGAATATTTTAATAAATCCTGACAACAGAAAACTGCTGCTAGAAGTTCAATGAGTAATATAGAGCATTGTTTGCTAGGCACAAGTCCTGCTTTTAATCTAGCAAGCTTAATTCCCTATGATAGCACACGTTGATAGCTATTCAGCCATCTATTGCAAGCTCAGTCCATACCTCTGTTCAGCACAATGTTTTATGGATGCCTTGCCATTAACCTGCTTTGACAAAACTTCAGTCTACCAGGGCAGTCTGTGAAAAAATGAAGTCAGTGTCCCTGGGACATTAAACAGACAGCCCATGTAGCCAGTACCCCATTTCTGCAGAGATCCCACTTATCCTCTCACATGCACTGGTGCCACCATGCTGAGTTTAGTGGGGTTCTTCCTGTTCTTCCTGAACACATTACCMGGTGATCTTCATGCCATGGTGAGCCAAAAAGGAGCAAAATATGTTGCACATGTTAATATCAAAGTACAGAACAAATGCTGTCCAGCGATGGTAAGTTCCTAGAGGACCAGGCAGGTGTATAAGGGCTGGTACAGAAAGACGAGCACCTGCTCTGGATCCAGCTGCCTGCTGTGGTACCAGCATGACAGCGACACCAGGTGATTCTCCACTGGGCATCTCAGCAGCACCACCACGGGCGTGTGCTCTGGCACATGCTTCCTAGCTTCATTGTTGGATATTACTGTAAGGTCTTGCWCCATTTATGCATTTATTTAAGCTTTCTTGTTTTACTTAGTGAAGAACAGGGCCCAAAGATGCAGCTGTGTTTCAACACACAGATCTTGGCACCCATAAAGTGGCCTGCACATTTGATTGGGAGCTATTGAATTATTGCTAGCCTCAGAATCAGCTGCCAGGCCTGTATTTTTTTCCTACAACACATGTGCATGTCTTGCACAAACCCCATTTCCTTGTTAGTGCCAAGTAGAGTATTGGTTTAGGGGTTTAGTTTTTTAATTAATAAAACAGAAATACTCATGTAGTGAATTTACAGCAAGGCTGGGTGATTTGTCAGCTGTGGAATATGGCAGAGCCTTCTCTGCAGAAACCTCTTAGGAGAGCTGAGACACCAGAGTGCCATTGCCATCTCCAGGTCAACARTGGCTGATAAATGAAAGGAAGGAGAGAACAGCCAACTCTTCCAGCTGCTCAAAACACACAGATGGGACAGTCCTGGCYATAGTGCTACACCATCCAGTAAGCATCTATTTTTATTGTATCACATACTATATTACARACAAACTGTTAGCAGTGAAGATATATTTTGGAAAATATGCAAGTGGAAGCTTTTTATAATACAGAATATATAGAATGCCTCAGATCTGTAGCCCTAATTTTATAAAAATATCATCTATTGGAACATTCCTTATTATAGAAGTAGGTCTTATCAGTTTTAGTATAATGGTATGCCAGTTCCTCAAGAGGGGGCATTTTCCCTTTTCACTGTGCTCCTCCAGTCACTTTTGTGTAGTCTGAACTTTATTTCTTTAAGTTGTCCCCGGTGGTCAAAAGTGCAATTCAAATGAAGTTAATGTCTGCAGGAGTGACACCTTAGTGTATCTTTCTTTTCGTACAGATACCGTTAATGAATTCCCTCCCAGCRGGGATCCAGAGAATAGCAGCTCCAGGAGTAGCTGGGATCTGCAGGAGGGATTTGCTACGCTCTGGGGTAGTCTTGTCCTCCAAGTGCTGGGTATTGTCATTTAGGCTTTATTTAACAGGCACTTGGTAAAGACATCAGTTGTAGCTTAAATAATACACACTTTACATTCTTCCTTCTTGATTCTTCTTGCAATCACTTTGGCAAATGACAGAATTTAATACAATTGCCAGATTTTCCCTCCCACCAAAAGAACATCTTAGCAGTTCACTTCAGCAGAGGGAGAAGTGGTCAGAACAAATGAAAAGAAGGATTTGAATCAGATTAGCACAGTGCCTTTTTCCTCTAATAATCTTGCTTCAAGGGTGTTTCAGAGATGGCACATACAGGCAGCAATGTTTGGAATATGCCCTTTTCGAAAGAAAATGTTATTAGTTGCATGATGCCATAGTCCCTGAAGCTAAATTAATTTCTGGAGTTACTGTGATGAATTTGGCCTCAGCTATGTTTCCTGGCCTCGCTGGCAGCAGTTCTGTGGGGCTGCCTGTGTTACTAGGGCTGTCACTGCTTCCTCTTGAGTGTGGCTCCAGTTCAGCAGCAAGGAGGTGGTGTCACTGTCAGTGTGTGCTGAAGTGCAYTGCTGAAATCAGGGTACCAGTACTGGCCCTGCACTTCGGGCATCTCCTTTGCTGCTCCACTGTGCCTGCTTTTCACTGCCAGCAGCAAYGAGGGTACATCAGGCAGACAGGGAGATGCTCACAGCCCCCCTGAGTGTGCCCTTAGAGGAAAACGAGCTTTGGTTTGGATCCCACAGGAGTCAGACCCCTCCCACACACCCCTGGTGTTCAGCCCTGTGTTGAGCTCTGGGCTTCAGCAGAAGCCCAGGGTAGCTGAGACAGGAGGACTTGCAAAGTGGTACCCACAACTGTTTTCCCAAAGCTCAGACTGCAGAATCTGTCTCTGGCAGGGTCCTTGTCATTGCAAAACCAGTTAGGACCCTTTGTTTGCCCCTGATCCCACTGTTACAGCCAGAGGCTGGGATGCACCAGTGCATAGGCAGCCTCTGGGTTTTCCATCAGCAGCATCTGTACATGACAGGTGTGCTCCAGCTGACAGGTGACAGACATCCCAGTGACTGTGAGAGAGCTGCACTCTGCATGGAAATGGCTTTGGGGTTTTTTTAAATGTTTTCTGTGAATGTTACTCTGTAAAATTGCCAAAGCCCACCTCCACCCCCCCCCCCCCCCGCTCATAAACAGGGCTTGCAGTATTTATGACAAATGCTGATACAGCTTTCTAAATAAAACACACTATGCTACTCCAATCTCCCAGCCTCATCAATCCTCCTGCCAGCAGGCAGAAGACAGTTCCTGTTACAGTCAGATTCTTTGTCAGTGCTATCAACTGTGCACATTTCCTCCAAGCTGTGAATGTTTAAATGATGTCTCAACAGGACTCTGACTGTTTCACTAGTTACAGCCATTAGTCTGCATCTTCATGCCAGCATTTTCTAAAGAAAGCCTTTCTAACAATGCATTTTAGATAACAATCTGTTGACAAATAGGAATGTGATTAATGATAATGCAAAAAAAAAAGGTACCGTGCCTGTTCTGTGGCTGTTTGTTTTCAACATTGTGAGCAACCATTTTTTTTGTTTGCAACATTGTGAGCAACCATGAGCCAAGCTAAAAGCTTGAGACACAAATACCCTGAGGTTCAGGCATTGTGGGCAGGACTTTGGCATTTCCTGACTGCAATACGTGTTAGGAACAAACACCCTTGTGTCCATGGGTCACCTCTGATGAGATGGTAGCAGCAGTGTATCAAACTTTTCTTCTTCTGCTTGGAAGTGCCATGGAAGACCTAAGGAAACCTGCAAATAATGTAAATTGTGATAACTAAAGCCATGTTAATGGAACAGCCATGTATAGTTTCACTGTTACAAATGCTATTCTCCAATGGAAATCTGCATTCAACTTTGTTGACTGGTTTTAAAAATGTTGGTTTTAATAATAAAATGAAAATACCTGTAGGAATGTGTCCTTTCTTGCATTTTATCTTAAGGGACACTGTCAGGTTAAACATTTGCAATGAACGTTTAAAAGTGGGACTCAAACATGTAGCCATGTGCATGGGAGCTGTGAGGCTGAGCTGTGCTGTGAGCTTACATTGACATGCCAATGATTTATTTGCATCACTCATTCAGGGGTRCTCTTATGTTCAGTGTGGTGACACACACTGACCTAAAAGTCTGGCTCTTGTGTAAAGTTCAGAAATTTTCTTCTACCTGAATCACTGATAGTAACTTGAAAGCTTACAGGCATGTCTTTTCCCTTCAGCACTTTTGCTTAAGTAGGAAAACAGGCAATTGAGTTGAAAAAAATGCAAACACTATTTTATGTTAGAGTAAGAAAAATAACCCAAAACCTCACAGTGTCCCTTTAGCTGTGGTTTATTGTAAACATCCATTCTGACATGTGGAGAAATGCAGAAGCGATTTTGCGAGATTATATATATGTATGTACATATATATATAAGTTTGCTGAATTCCATTTTGTAGGGTATAATCCGTCTGCCAGTACATCCCAGGAAAAAGAATATTAATCCATGCAGAAATGTGAAAATAAAGATGTCTGTGTGAAACGTGGTCTTGGTCTCACTGCAGTGCCTGCCCAGTGTCCGCTCCCTCAGCTGTGCAGACCCCAGGCAGCACTGCTGCCAGTGAGGCACCTCCTGCTCCATGAGACAGCAGGGCCCTCTGCAGAATGCCAGACTGGAATTCTTGCKTCCCCTGCAAGAAGGTGTGGGAACTCCCTATTCAACATCCTTCACTCCCTGGGATGTGTCCCAGCTGCTGCCAGGCAAAGCAGGCTCGGGCTCAAAGTATGTGTGTAGGCTTTCTGTTCACTTTTTGGCTGAGATTTGTTCAGGTGGCTGGTGAAGCCCTAGTTATGGCTGTGAGATATGGGACACCTCTGATTTTATTCTGAGCCCATCACCATTGCAGTCTGAGCACCTCGGTTTGCTGCTTCTGGGGTCCAGGCATTGCATCTGGGGGATTGAAGGGCAGTGGGGAGGGAGCAGGTCTGTACCGGCCATAGGAGCTGTCCCTCTCTCTGGGGTAGAGGGGCACCTGAGGCATGTGCCACAACTTAGCATATGAGAAAGGTTCCTTTTGAATCCCATAATAGCCTTTTCTYCCTGRRAGGTTAATCTGTAACCTTTGCCTAYCCATGCAGGTCCAGCAAACTGGAAAGGGAGGAGGCCAGGACATGCTGGCACATGARGTCCTTTCATCACATTAGATCTGCATTGTGTGGGATCAGCCATGGGAGCTGCAGGAGTGGAAATTCTGCATGATGGAGAGCTGGTGATGGACYTACCCCTGCTGCTTGGCAAGGACACCAGTCCCCATCACTCTCCAGGAGGTGGGAAATAATGAACTGAAAATCTCCAGAGCCTCGATGGATGTGGTTATTTCCGGAATGTTCTGTTTAAACTTTCCATTTCGTCTTCCTCTCTGTTCTTGTAGAGAGTGGGAATTGCTGGGGAGCTCTGGCTGGAAGCTYCCACAGCAGGCAGGTGCCTCCGGAGCACAGGTGAGTTGTCACACTGCCTGTGACATTCTCCTGGGGACTCACCTGTTGTCCTGTCCCTGTGCTCAGCAGCCTGTGGAGGAGCCTGGGGGCACCCGGATGATCCACACTCCTCATTTAGAACAGGGGCTTCTGCAAGGGGTGCGCAGTGCTCCTGGTAGTGGGCAGAGTGGCATGTTTCTTTTAAGAACCTGGGACACTTCCAAGGGATGTTAGGTTTTCTCCTTTTGTTTCACCTCTTGGGGATTTTTTCCCCATTTTGTAAAATTGGGAAAAATCATTGTTAAAATGTCTGTGAGAAGTTAATGTTGATTGAGAATTTTCCAGAAGAATGATAACTTATTGGAAAACATTGATTTAAAAAAAATAAATCCAAGACTGCTTTTACAATCCTAGGGTTAAATTGAATTTTTTGACATTTTTACAGAAACTTATCCAACCTTTGTGTTCTAATTACCTTATTGATTTACTTACAAAGCAATATAAATTGAAAATATAACAGCATAAATATAGATGAAGATAAATGTTAGCACAATGTTTTCTGTGTGAACAAATATTCTGAATTTTACAGAACTCAGAACATGAAGAAGTACCAGAGCCATGTTTCCTTCACACAGTACTAGCTGTTATGGAAAAGCATTTGTCACCAACCAGTTATAAGTAAAAAAAGTAAAACTCATTGTGGTGGGTGAGCATTACACGGGTGGGAGGCACACTGTCTGTGCTGTAACTGATAATGAGTAAAACTCCTGGGAAAAACTCGTATGTATGACAAACTGAGTTGCAAAAATACTTCTAAATTGTTCTCAATTTTTCTTTCAGACTTTTAAAAATTTATCTCACTTTTTTGCCTTATATTTGTTTTACTTTGCACTAAGCTGTGATATTGTAATGCTTAAATCCTGAAGGACATCTGCTACAATCAAGTTAATGAACTGCCTTTGGTTCCTTTGATATTCAAATGAAGGAGCTGTGCACAAACCAGCAAGAGACTCTTTGAAATGCAAGGAAGGTAGAGACTTCTGTCTCAGCAGTACTTTGTAGTGATTTTACCAATGAAATAAAAYCAACAGAATAGTGAAGCTTTTAGTTTATGTCGCATTCTAGCAGTGAGTATTTAGTGCATGTCATAATTTAAAAAYGGGAATATATGGTGTAGATTTCAGCCACTTCCAAGTCCAAAAMCAGAATTTCAGAACTTAAAAATTCCCTTTTCTGAGAGCATATTTAATCCTCATTTAGAACAGAAATCACATTCCAGCCCGTGAAGAGGATATTCYAGGGCTTGAGCAGCACTGCTCAGCAGGGCCCAAAGAGATCATTGCAGAAATGAGTGTGACATTGCAGAGACCTGCAGGTAATTTTAGATACAGTAAAAGTCATGTTCAAAGACATCCTGTTCTTTTACTGAAGCTTCCTGTGGGATTGGCATGGATTTACAGTATCTAGGGGAACTCTGCTGACATTGTGGGAGCACCTGCCTGCTCCTGGTGGAACTGAGTGGAGTCATAGGACTGGGGAGGAAATTTTGAAACTTGGGAACTAAGCTTGTCTTTCACAGACTGGATGGATCCCTGTTCCTTAGCTGTGTCTTTGCTCCAAGAAGAGTCCACAGAGTAAGAAGATGCTTTGTAGGGGTTTGGAGAAAGTTACCAGCAGTGAGCTGGAGCTGCCTTGGGGGAAGAGCCAGAGGTATTTCATGTCACTGACACAGTGTGGAAGGGATAGACAAAACGCTGCCTGGGTCTGTGATAGTGGAGGGAACACAGGAATGTGACAAAGCTGGCCAAACYTGTCTCCTGGGCTGGGAATTTTTTTGAGTTTTTTTAGCTCTTGGCAAAGAAGGGCAGTAGTAGTGTTCAGYTGGTCTTCTATGGTTGTGCTTTCCAGGCATTTTCTGTCCTGCTTTGTGGGCACTGGGCCCTGGCTCTGCAGGTTCTTCCTTGTTCCCAGCGAGGGGAAGCACTGCAGCTCTCAAACCTTTGGCTTCCACTCATCACACATCCAGAGCTGTGAATTAACCAGGGGACAGTTGGCACTCAGATATTGGGGTACTGGCACAGGAAGAAGCCAGTGATCTGAGGCTTCCACGGGGAATAGGCGGTACCGATTCCATGGCTTCAGGAATGCTCCCCAGCCTCTGCGTGCTCCCTATCCCCTGCATGGACCTAGGCAAAATAGGCAGTATTGTTACCATGTGTGTAACATATGGATGTGTACGGATRGTTATGGATGTATGAGGATAATGTAACAGATTCTGCAGATTCTGTAGACAGAGGCTATACAGGCTGTTACAGGACATTTGGGGATCAAAGATTTCGGAGTACTAGGAACAGGAGTCTCCAGTGAAAATTGTTTGCTGCTGTACAGCAGATGCTGGCTATGCCTTGGACAGTCCCTGCCTGGCAAGTGAAAAACAAAAGGCTATGGGTTTGTTCAGCACTGCTCGAAATTCAATCAAATGCAATCAGAAAAAATGTGGTGGTAAGTCCCATTGCATGAATCTTTATTAGACTTACATTTTTCACTTGCAAATGTGACATGGCATCAGGTGTGTGYCTCAACATTGTGCTTTTTGGGACATCACAGGGAGGAGTGCAGTGCTCCCAAAGTAGCCCTCAGT